CCTTCATGAGTACACACAAGACGCATTCGCCTATGTACGAACTTACGGAAGACCTGATCTTTTTGTTACTTTTACTTGCAATCCCACATGGAAAGAAATAACCGAGGAGCTAATGCCGGGCCAAAAAAGTACTGACAGACATGATTTAGTTGCTAGAGTATTTAGATTAAAAGTACAAAAATTAATGTATGTAATTAACAAAGGGAAAGTTTTCGGAGAGGTGCAGTGCTTCATGTATTCAATTGAATGGCAAAAAAGAGGATTACCGCATGCCCACATTCTAATATGGCTTAAAGAGAAGTTACGGCCCAGCCAAATAGACGACATAATAAGCGCCGAGATTCCGGATCCTGAGCAAGATAAAGAATTGTATGATACCATCGTCCGAAATATGATTTACGGTCCATGTGGAGCACGAAATTCAATATCGCCATGTATGAAAGAAGGAAAATGTACAAAGAAATTCCCTAAACAGATATTAAAAGAAACAGTGCACAATGACAATGGCTACCCTTTATACAGACGCAGAGCTCCCGAAGATGCTGGCAGGAAAGTTACAATCAAATCTCGCTCTGGAGCGTTCGAAACCTTAGATAACAGCTGGATTGTCCCGTATTCGCCCATTCTATGAAAAATGTTTAATGCCCACATTAATGTAGAACCATGTAGCTCTGTCCGCGCAATCAAGTATATCTGTAAGTACATAAATAAAGGAAGCGACCAATCAATATTTAATCTCAGGAGTGAAGGTGAGCCAAATCCCGTTAATGAAGTACAGACCTTTCAAGCAGGGCGTTATGTCAGCAGTAACGAGGTAGCGTGGCGTCTCCTTGGCTTCCCTTTACACGAAAGGCACCCAACAGTTACTCACCTTGCTGTGCACTTAGAAAATGGAGAGCGTGTATATTTCACCGAAAGAAATTTCCAAGAAAGAATTGCATCACCGCCAAAAACTACACTAACAGCCTTCTTTCAACTTTGTCAAACCGACCTCGCTTGCTTCCCGAACAAAAACAAGTTTTTGACAAAATATTAGGACAAATTGAATCTGGAAATGGTGCACTTTTCTTTTTAGATGCCCCTGGAGGAACTGGGAAGACATTTTTGTTAAATTTATTACTAGCGCAAGTACGGAAAGATAAAAACATTGCTGTGGCCGTAGCTTCTTCCGGTATAGCCGCCACGCTGCTAAGCTGCACATTCTGTTTTAAAACTCCCTCTAAATCTAGCCCAGGAAGAATCGCCGATCTGCAACTTTAGCAAAAATAGTGCACGAGGTATAATGCTACGACAATGCAAACTTTTAGTGTGGGACGAAAGTACAATGTCGCATAAAAAAGCTGTAGAAGCACTAAATCGAACGCTCCAGGATTTGCGCAGCAATACCGATGTACCGGGAGGAATAGTGGTTTTACTGGCTGGTGACTTTCGCCAAACTTTACCTGTGATTCAAAAGGGCACACCTGCAGATGAAATTAAAGCATGCCTCAAGTCGTCTATTTTATGGAACAAGGTGACAAAATTCAGTATAACTACGAATATGAGAGTACTTTTGTATAATGATATCAATGCTGGAAACTATGCTGACACAATATTAAAAATTGGCGATGGGCGGTTGGAAACGGATGCTGAGGGCTGCGTTAAATTGACGAGAGATTTTTTTTAATTAAGTACAGAGTCATTCCGAATTAATTGCGAGCGTTTATTCAGATTTAACGAACAACATGCATGAAGACAAATGGTTATGTGAAAGGGCAATTCTTGCACCAGAAAATGAGAGCGTTAACAAAATAAATTCAGATATATTAAGCGAAGTAGCAGGAGAAATAACAGAGTATTTGTCAGTAGACACAGTTATGGACACAGAACAGAGCACTTCATATCCCGTAGAGTTTCTAAATTCTCTAGAGTTGTCAGGTGTGCCCTCACATAAGCTTCAATTAAAATTAGGCGTCCCAGTCATGCTAATGCGAAATTTAGATACTCCTCGATTATGTAACGGGACAAGGCTGCGTGTGACACATCTTGGATGGAACATAATCGGTGCTACAATTTTGACAGACGTAGGAAAAGGTGAAAATGTTATTATACCACGCATCCCTATAATTCCCACAGATCTTCCTTTTCAATTCAAAAGGTTGCAGTTCCCTATTAAGCTCAGTTTTGCAATGACAATTAATAAAGCGCAAGGGCAAACGTTACAGGTAGCGGGGGTCAACTTAGAAAAACCGTGCTTCTCTCAAGGTCAGCTGTATGTAGCATGTTCGCGTGTGTCAAATGCCCAGAATCTCCACATTCTTTCCACGAATGGAAAAACATATAACATTGTGTACAGTAGCGTCTTAAAATAGTGTTCAGTTAGTTTTTTCCAAAATTCCCACAATCAATTAATCAGAATTCCCACAGATCTTCCCTTTCAATTCAAAATTTCCTATTTAGCTCAGTTTCTTTTCAATTCCAAATACTGCACCTCTGACGGACCTATTAAGCTCAGTATCCTTTCAACTCAAAAGGCTGCATCTCTGACGGATCTTTTATTTGGCTCAGTTTCCTTTCAATTCAGAAAACTGCATCTCTGACGAATCAGTTTAGCTTAGTTTATTTTCAAAAGTCTGCATCCATGACGGATAATTATGCTCAGTTTCCTTTAATTAAAAAAATATCCCATTTCCATTTGGAATAAGCAGGCTATTTTCATGATTTCCTATACGCTGCGTTTCAAAACATTTAAATAGGCCGACGAATCAATTTTGCTCAGTTTCCTTTTAATGGCTGCATCTCTGACAAATCTATAAAACTCAGTTTTCTTTCAATTCAAAAAGCAATGGATAGTTCATTTCCCAGTGACCATGCGGGCGAAGCCGCGGGTAACAGCTAGTTATAGGATAAATAAGAATGTCCCGCGACCAATGCTGATTTATCATTTATGCAATAATATCCTATATTCGATCCGCCCCGGCTTTGTACGAATGATTTCTGGATATCGATAATAGTGTTACCTACCGGTTCTAATCGTCTAATACAAAATGTGTAATTACTCTAAGCAAAAAGAATATTCTGACCAAGTTTTATATCTTTAAGAGCTATAGTTTGAAAATGTGATTTTTTGTAATTAACACCCCCGCAATCCCCCTTGCATGTGGAATTTCGTAAAATCCGTTCTTTACCGCCCTGGCCAAATTAATATTCCTACCAAATTTCAAGTCTCTAGGCCTTATGGTTCCAGAGATATCGTGATGAGTCAGTACAAAATGTGATTTGTTTTTTGCAATTAACGCCATCGCAACACCCCTTGCAGGTGGAATTTCGTAAAATCTGTTCTTAGCTGAACTTTACTTGGCAAAATAATATACCTACAAAATTTCAAGTTTCTGAGCCTTATGGTTCCAGAGATATCGATATGAGTCACTGTATATATGAGATTTCCATATATGTAGTGACTCATATATTCAAAAACCGTGGGAGCGGTTGATAATCTTCTCTTTGTATGGTTCATATTATTAAATACCTACTAAAAAATTTACTATTTTGATAAATATTGGATACACAGATCGTCACCGTTATAGACGTTATAGTGACTGACGTTCACCGCTTTATTACGACCGTCACGTAGAGGTGCCGCTATCCTAGGACGCCTGAATCGAAAAGATTGCTATAGTACGCGCTTATGGACTCCCCTGAAGTTCATTGTCTGCCTGGGTGATAAAACCTCAATATATGTCTGCCATGCAAAACATATATATCAAAACAACATATATAAATTGCAGCCTTAGGTGTCTGCCAATGTTATTTTTCGGTAACTTTTATTGAGTATTTCAAGATGTCAAAGCGGCAGACTTATTACTATCATGTATTTTTGGTCATTTTTTACACATTTAACACCGGAGTGTCTCTATATTAATTGCCGGTCAAACAAAAGAGTCCTCATTTCATGTACCTACCTGAGGTATAGGGGATTAACTGAAAAAAAGTGAAGCTTATTGAAATATCGTAAGTCTGCCGCTCACTGGCTCTTAAGCTATTATTCACATACTAATTTCATTATTGAGTAGACGTAATTTGATATCCTGGACAAATTCATCACTTTTAGTGTATTTACAAACATTTTCTAAATGTCTTTGCTACAACAGATGTGTTCGCGAAGAACTGGGGGTTTTTTTGCAAGCATTCCAAAAACTACTATTGGATCTTTAACTTCATTTTAAATTATTTTTTGCCAAGATTCCAATTTATCTGTAATCCTGTGACGCACTTTTATTACAGCGATGACCTTTCAAACAAGACGTATGTACAGATATTATATTTTATGGGTAAAGTCACGAAGTATCTTGGGCCAGCTTTTATCATGTTTCTATAAATGACTATACACAGGCGAGGGAGAGAATCGGTAGGAAAATAATATATACGAATTCCGATTATCCCCCACCCCCATCTGGGGTGGATAGATGAGTATCCACCCTAAGGTGGATTTTCTAGGGCGGAATAACCCCCACAGAAAGATATGAGGTAGTTGGGGATATTCTTACACAGCCAATACACGGGATTTACTCGTGTCCACAGCGAACTGTTGAACCGATGACCAAGCAGAACAGATCGTATAAGAAATGCAAATGTAGACATGACAGTAGAATGTAGAGTATGGCAATGTTTCATTAACATTTCAGTTCTCAAGATAGAGGTCCTTCGAAATCTTTATTATGTAGCTATTATTTTTATTAGATCTGCAAAATTACTTGAAAGCTCTTCAATTTCTTCACAGCAGGAAATTCAATGTAACGGACTACCAAGCCATGTAAATGCGCGTGTGTTCAAGATAAGATTTCAAATTTATCGAAAACTTCAATTTCCAAATGAAACGGGACACTAATGTCTTACTGCTAAAGAATTAACTAAATAAAAATGCCGGCTTTCATAAATAAAAATTTATTAAAATGTTAGACATTTCGTTTATTTATCTTACACTTTTTCTTATGGTTTTTTTATTATTATCTTTGAGTATTTCAACAGAGCTTCATCACCAGTATTGGCAGTCCCGTTGTTGGATCATTCGTTCCCGCCGTTCTGTCCGTACTTCTTGTATCTTTTGGAGCACAACCTATAGAATGGTTATTAAATATGTTAGAGTTTTCTTAAAAAATCGAAGAGTTCCCTTCGATTTTTTATACCTTATAAAAAAGTTAAAGTTACAGCCTATATACGTCCCACCGCTGGGTACAGGCCTCCTCTCATTTCTGAGCGGATTTTAGGGCAAAGAAATGTCCGCCGCGCTACCCCAATGCTTGTTGGCGAAGTTCACATGTCTTCGAAATATTTTTCTTATTTCTCAGACATGCAGGTTTCCTTACGATGTTTTCCTTCACCACGGAGCACGTGGTCAATCAGCACTTAAAATTGCAATTAACAATTTCATTGATGCCGGAGGGGATTAAACCCGGGTTGCTCGAGTACAGTGAAACTTACAGCAAACGATAACCATCTGAGCTACCACGGCTCCTACCTTATACTAATATTAATTACAATAATTTTTCGCAGTGCCCTCAAAGCTAATGTTTTCTAAAAATCATTTAGTGGATTTGTTACTGGCCTGGCGATACGTTACAAGAAAAGAGCAACCGCCTAGCCTTTGTAGCCATGAATTGCGACAATTGTCATAGTATTTTCCACCATAGATTGCCTCATAGCACGATTTAGTCTTTATTTATTTGCCACTTTATTTGCCACGCTTGACAGGTCAGTCAGCAACCGCATTTTGATTTATCAAAAAGATGCTGCTGCCCATATCCTGTTACAGTTTACCTCGGTGGTCTCACGACACCCATGAGACGATATGGGATAGTGGACGCACTTTCACCACTACTACACGGTCTTCACTTTTTACAAGAAGTCCTCACATATATTTATTGTAAGTCACCGTTTCTATTCTCACAAAAGTGACGTAAATGACATTTTAGAGGTTATCCAATTGGTATTAAGTTTTCATACAGAATTCTTTTAAATTGAATCCAATTTCTTTATAGAATAAGGGTGATAAACGAGCACACAGTCCACCTGATGGTAAGTGGTTGCTGTGGTCCATAGGCATCTACATCTTCGTTTGCAAATCAAAATGCAGATGCGTTGTCAGCCGTGACGACTAAAATAAAATGCTCCTTTTCTAGTAAAAAGGTTCTCCGGTTCTCTACACTCACCATACGAAACACAGCAGCATAAGCTGCTATTTTACGCTGGTATTCTGTGAGAGCGTGGTCCTTCCCCGTTCCCATTCGTGCTAAAACTATACTATTAATATAGCTGCAGCATGGCTCTACCACGTATAAAATTCAATAAATGGTTATTTGCATTTTAAGTGTTGATTTACCACTTGCTCGGCGGTGAAGGAAAACATCGTGAAGTAACGTGCATGTCTGACAAATAAGAAAAAATATTTCGAAGACATGTGAAGTTTTTATCCCGATAAGTGACCCTCAATATTTCTTATGGCGAATTAAGGGATTTTTATAGAAGAAATAGTCAATGCAAAGGGCAGAACACCGACTGCCTGGACAACTGATACCAGTTGTACGTTAAAACGCTATTTCAGGGGTGATCAATTTGGAGAAAAACCAACTGAAACAGGGTGACAAAAATATGGACTTTTTAATGGAAATATTTAAATGACATTGAGAGATTGTGATATTCCTCAGTACACTCGAAAGTGAAACTTAGTAAAAAATAAAAAAAATGAATTAATTTCGCAATATCAGTATATCTTATCATCGTCCTTTTAGTTCTTGGAAGTCAGCTTTTACTTTTTATTAAAAGTTTATTCTTTGTATGGAATTCTCAAAACTTTATGACTATATTTTCTGTTTACCATTTTAAACACGCATTATAAACATAATTTTTTATAGAATAGTATTAGCATAGTTGTAGCACGAATGGATTGGCTCGACCGGGGAAGGACCACGCTTTCACTAAATACCAAATTAAAATAGCAGCTAACACTGCTGTGTTTCGTATGTGAGTGTAAAGAACCGGCTACCCTTTTTAGTGGAAAAGAGGCATTCCAACTTAGTTTACATGGGTGACAACGCATCTGCATTATGGGATAGATTGTAGATGTCTATAGGCCACAGCAACCACTTACCAATCAGGTGGACTGTGTGCTCGTTTGTCACCCTATTCTTTAAAAAAACCTAATGTTATTTATCATATAATAGAGAATAAGTGTAATAAATTATAAGCTAATTTACTTACAACATTTTTTAGTGGAATCATCTTGAGGCGGTTGTGGTGCAACACTCTTTAGTTCGCAAACAATAAATCTTTTGCCGCTTTTAGCAGTGGCATCTTCTGACATTCCAGAAATATTTCCTGTGTGCTTTGCAAGAGGAGCGGGATCTGCCAAACCATGTGCACGTGCTAGCTGACTAGGCGCACATAAGGGATCCGGCAAAACCAAGCAAGGGGGTTCCCCACCACATCCAGTGCGGCGGCAATCGTGTTGAAGACCGTTGCGCTTGATACAATGGCAACTATAATACATAATGCCCCCACGCAGTTCTCGACTCTTTATTCTTTTTAAATTATTTTCGTTCTCCGTTTTTTGTGCACTGCCCTCAGATTTTTCCGTTTCATCGGAAGTCTTTCTTTTCTAAAAAGAAAACATAAATAAATCATTGAACATACAGCCCGCTATGCCCGCCGTGTTTTGAGTAAAGATCGACACATCCACTACAACGTCCCATCCCATGACCGTAACCGTGTCGGCACATGCAAAAAATTTTTGTTTAATAAATTAATATGTAACAAAAAGTCAAACTGTAACACCATAGAATTTACGAGCAGAATATTTGTATGTTCCGTCCGTTGTTTGCGACGATACCAAACCGCTCTGCGCAGGATCATCTGCGTTATATCCGCGTATGCTTACCGTTGTCCAAAATATAACAATCATTGCTATTTTTTTATATTCTACTAAGCCAGCGATTATCTACGATCCCACCTGATAGAAAGTGGTCACGTAGCCTTCTTGGCACCATCTTGGTGAAGCGCACCGACTTAATAAAAGCCTATTCACTCTTGCCTTGAAGACACCCACACTAATCGGATGGAACAAAGAGGCGCACTAAAAGGTTTATTGGTGACCCCGATTTGGTAGAAAACAATCTTGTCAGTCTCAAATAGAGGCGCAGAGTAGTCGGCCTCTCGGTATTCTATAGGATACATTACGGGGCGTGTGCGCATGAATTACGTGGTTAAATTCTCCAGTCACTTTTCCACCATCAGGCAACCAGACGTTCGGCGTTTCTACACTCTTGGTATTCACTTGATATTTACGCATTCGGTTTGCTTCGTCCGTTGTAATGCGTCAAGAAAATGGAATCGTTTGCAAGCGTTTTTCCATACAAATATAATCTGGGTATCTTCGAAGTAAGAATGAACATGCTGTTACGTTAACACAGTGGGTACTTCTAGGGCTTCCAAAGCTCCTCATGACGCCTTCTGACACAAAAACGCGTACAAAATGAGCTACAACCGATCATACGTTCTAAACAGCATAGTAGTGACTGTCGTGTTTTTTTCGTGCCTGATATCTTAGTAGCACGTTCATAGTATGAGCCGTTGTAGTGGACCAAGACCTTAAGCATTACCATTAAGCTCCTAACATTGTAACGAGCGACGCCACAGACGACTACCACTGCGACAGAAGATCGAAGTCGCTGAATCGAGTTACGTAGGTCTTGCCAGGTGGAGGACGTCGCACGCACGGCGGACAACATGGCGGACACGGTCGAGGGCAGCAGGGACCATCTCGACATAGATAGCGTATAGAGCCTTGCTGGAAGAATTGATGATCCTGGAGTCCATTACGTTTGAAGGCAGACCGTGGGAGACACTGAAGCTAAATAAATAATACAATTATAACAACAATACTAAACGGTAATAAACATGGGTATAAAACTGGTTTATTTATTAAAAAGAAATACTAATATTAAATACAGAAATAAGAAAACATTTATTGTTCCTAATTTAGATCGAATGTCACCATTTAGCTAAAATTCAGCGTTTAAAATATTTTATTATTGAAACAAGCACTTAATATAACATTATATTAATGTTAGCACAAAAAAAAACTACAAAACTGCTATTAAATATTATGGGTTCCAAAGAGTACTTCTACATTTCACGAGTTTTCCCTCTAGTTTTCCTATTTGTATTAGGATAAAACAAAATGGACAGTCTTTTCCAATTAATTCTCCAATTTTTTTATCTCAATATGACGAAGATAATACGGTAAGTTTAAGTAGTTTATTTCTAATTTATTTTTAATAAAAATCAAATATATGAGTTTCAAACAACAACAAGCTGTAAAATTAAAAATTTTGTGCAACCCACTTCATTATAAATAAAATGAGAACATTAATGTAGTCGAAATTAAATACGCATTATTAAGGATAAGGACTGTGCTTTGCGGGATACTTGGTGGAGGTCCACGTTAAGCAATGGGCACCTGTGATGGGCTGTGATGACAACGCTGATGATGGTGATGTCCATTCAGTTTTAGGCATCGTCCTAATACAACGCGATTACGCGATCATATCAAGTTCGCACGAATTTTACTCGTACTAATATGCGATCAAACACAGATCAGTGTTTGATCGCATATTCGTACGAATAGGTGTACTAATTGGCATTCGCACGATGGGATCGCGCGACTTGATTGTGTAAATCTATTCGCGCGAACTTTGTACGAACGCGCGATCAAACATATTGCTGTCGAATAGGTGTCCCTAATTGACATTCGCGCGATTATTGCAATTCACCACTTATCGGTCTTATTTCCAACAAAGCACATTGCAACCCATTTCGGATTTTTCATTGATGTCAAGATAAGCAGAATAGGTCATCTATATATTTCCAGAAAGTAAAAACTGATCGTTTCTGACGTCCGTGCATAGCGCCAATGCCATGCGCAAACTGCGAAGCGAAGCAGAACCCGCGGCCGCTAGCATCGTCAATTCGCGAGCTGATCGCGTATTCGCGTTCTATGAGGACACCCAGTTTATGATATCGCGCGAGCACGCGATGGTCGCATCGTTTACTCGCACGATGATCGCATAATCGCGTTCTATTAGGACACCCAGTTTATGATATCGCGCGAGCACGCGATGGTCGCGTCGCTTACTCGCGCGATAATCGCGTAATCGCGTTCTATTAGAACGACGATATATATAACAAATAATATTCAATACAACATAAGAAATTGACAACACTAAGTAACATCTGTAATGTATTTGAGCACGCAAATTCATTGGTTATACATATTATATAAATTTATATTTAACAAATGAGTATGGTGGATGAGCAAACAGTCGCTTTATAATAAGTAAGTGTTGTGGTGCAAAGACTAGGAAAGGCTGTTCCAATAATAAGACTAAGGACTAATTATTCCTTAGCCTAATTATTATTCACCTCGTTCGAAACAAAGCACTGGTCTAATTTATGGCTTACTTTACCTCCTTGATTTAGGATTGACCTTATAAGATATTACTTGGATGGTCGTGATTTAATTTATTAAAATTCAAAATAAACTGCACATTTCGTTCTACCGTAGAACTACCTACTAGTAGAACTGGTTAGACAAACAACCTTTAGTTGTATTATCTAAACAACATACAACACACACTATCTTTACTGTATTATTTTATCTAAACACGCACTATATCTTTCTTGTATTATTGCCTATCTATGCCACAATTAAAGCTGGCTAAACGCTCGCTGTAAATTTCACAGTCCACTTTCGATACCCGCCGGCACAAATAAATTGGTAATTGTAATTGTAAGTTGTGATTTACCACGTGCTCGGTGGTGAAGGAAAACATCGAGAGGAAACCTGCATATCTAAAGAACAAAGAAAAAAAACTTCGGAGATATGACGTGAAGTTCGCCAACGCGCGTTAGTACAGCGCAGCGCAGCGGACATTTCCTTGCCCTAAAGCCCACTCAGAAATGAGAGGAGGCTTGTGCGCAGCAGTGGAACGTATAATAGGCTGTGACTAAAACTGTTTAAAATATAGAGTTTTATCATAAACTAAATCATTTGATAAATCTATACATGTGAAATATGGCAAATATTACTGGTCCTAATTTTTTCCACAAAACAAATTTTGAATTATTTGAGAGGAATACCTAATTTGAATAGTTATTAAGATATTTTAAAGAGCATTGGGCATTATCTATACCACAATTACGATAGAAGTGGAAATGAATTGCTATACTCAGCTCCTTGAGATTATTTTTGTTTTTTTTTTTTACTTAATTTCAGTTTTAGCCAGAAAAGATTTTTATATGTAACAGATCCTCTTATATTGGAAAACAGGTTTCGAAAACATGTTATCTTCTAATTTGGAAAGCGGGTTTTAGTAAGCGAGATTTATATTAATATATTAAACTAATGTAAAAGCCTGAGTCTGTCAGCACGTAGTGTGATCAGAACGCAGCGTGGTAGACACGGCACAGACGAAACATTTCATATTCTATCGACAGACGACTGACAGCCACTTACTGATACTCTACACTAGAGCCTCTCTCCCAAGGGACCAGTTATACCATCGTGTCTCTTGCCATCGTTTCAAAATATTCCATAAAGCTCTAAACCGGGGGCACTCTACGGAAGTCATTATTCAAAAAATCGTGACGGGATAACCTACTACCACTTTTATTACATGAAAGTCCCTTACCACAAGGACACTGATGAGGTTGATAAATCGCCGCTTCTAGCCGAATTCTATGGCAATGCGTCGGCTCTCCCATTTCCATCTCATACCATCAAGTAATGTAAGATTACTTGATAGTAAGCGTTTAACCAGTGACTAGATTCCTTTGTCGAAACATCTAGAAGGCGGGCCAGATTTTAATCGCTATGCAAAACTATGTAACAGATGTTTCTGCACGCTTCGTGCCAACAGAATACCTCACTGTCTTTGTTGGTTAACTTTCAGTGGAACATTTTCGGTGGGACGGAGTGTTTGCCATTTCAGCCTAGGCTTCGCAACAAAGCATAGATCTACTTTAATTGAAGCAAAGAAAGCAAGCAATGCAATGCTAGGAAGATATTACTATAGCTATTTTAAGATATTAAGATAAATTTAAGAATATCCGAAAATTTCTAAATGGACTCGAGCGGAGCAATAAATCTAGGTAGTAGGCACAAGGTATTATTTTAAAATAGTAATAGCAATGTGGGGGTTTAAGATATACAATATATCAATAACCTATCAATTTTTTTTACAACAGATTTAGTACTATCGAAAAACAACAACCTTGCAAGTATACCGATTCCGCACTGAGTTTTTATTCCTGTTCCTCCAGGAATAAAAACTAAAAATGATTGAAATTTTGAATTAAAGTATCTCTGGTAAAATAGTTTTTACCAGAGATACTTTAATACAAAATTTATTTAAAAAATTCAATTCAAAATTAATTCATAAATTTAATAAATTATTTTAAAATACTTCACATTTATTTTTATTCCATATAGTGCCAAATATTATGTAACGCTGGCGAGCGGAGTACCTGACCTGTTGGCTTACAAAACCTCGTTTTTGTGATTATACACCGATTATATACTTGAGATTTACCGGTGAGCCACCAAGACTACGGTATGGTAAAGGTGGCCCAAAGATAAGGGCCTCAATAGGTACTTATAATAATAAAATTGAGCTTACCGGTGGGCCACAGTCTTCGTATTTGTAGCATACCATAGGACCACAAGGAGAACACCTATTAAAAATACAAGTTTAGTTCTTTCTAAACGAATCCTGTAGATAGACATTGTATAGAGATTTCATTATAAAAATACTTACATTTTGATTCCGATATTAATAAGAGGGGGTTTTGGTATTTATTTATAAATTTTTATTTATTTTAAATTATTGTAAATTAAGTACTTATAAATTTTGAAACTTGTTTATTAAACTTTAAATTTTTATAAAAAATACATGTGTTCAAATTGAAGCACAGACTTCCTTTGTCAATAAATTCTTCATTTGATTTTTGTTTGCACGATTTTTTTTTGTTCTATATTTTCTGTCTTCAATTCTATAGTGCCAGTATAACAACGTGCCAAGAACATTCTATAGAAGAAAAAGGTTTCGAATACAGTGGGCGTTTGTGGCGACAAATCCATGTTACTCTAATTAATTTTCTTGTCAGAACATTATTGTGAACAACCCGCAAATCTTTATCTTAATGGTTTAAATTGCATTTCATTAAAAACCTCGCATCCTGCAAATACTGCTTAAAGCTTCTGCGTGAGGGTTTGTATAATGTTTTACGCATGCCATGTTAGACGGCCCACATACTGGAGCTGGTAAAACTTGACAATAGGGTGAAGTTTGACATCCGCTTCTACGACAATCATACTGTAACCCATTCCTACGTAAGCAAAAGCAGTCCGTGTAAAGGATGCCACCTCTTAACTCACGGCTTTGACAGCCCTTCAGTGGTGTGCATAGACCCATAATGATTATCTGCAAATAATTCACTTTAAATGCTTTACTTGTTATCGCAAACTATTACAAAATATGGTATTAATATCATACTTGAACACTAAAATTTACAACAGATCCAAATTTTTTTATTGATTTGTTTTAAGCTTCAACTTTTACATTTACATAGATATGAAAATTATTTAATATACATATTTTTATTTAATTCCAGATGGTTTCGGGCGTTCGTTTTATAAATTTAAAAAACTAAGTGGACGTCAAAACACATTTCATAAATTTAAAATATACCTATCAATGAAATATAAAGC